GCAGGAGTTAACGCTGTGATCAGAAAAACTGGGGACAAAAGTAGGTGTTGGCAAGGATGTGGAGAAACTGGAACCCTTGTATACGGTTGGTGGGAATGCAAAATGGTGCAGCTGCTCTGGAAAATAAGTATTAAGGTTCCTCAAAAAGAGTAAAAACAGAATTACCACAGGATCCAGCAACCCCACTTCTGGGTATTCATCCAAAAGAACTGAAATCAGGATCTCAAATATTAGCACCCCTACGTTGACTGCAGCACCATTCACGATGGCCAAGATGTGAAAACAACCTAAATGTCCATTAACAGATGAACTGATAAAGAAAATTTGGTAGATACACACAATGGAATAGTATTCATCTTGAAAAAAGAGGGAATCCCTCAATATGCAATAACATGAATGCATCTTGAGGACATTATGCTAAGGGAAATAAGCCAGTCACAGCAAGACAAATACTGCCTGATTCCACTTACACCAGGTATCCAAAACAGTCCAATTCATAGCATCAAAGAGTGGAATGATGGTTGCCAGGGGCTGGTGCAGAAGGGGAGTTAGGGAATTGCTAACCAATGGGCATGAAGTTTCAGTCAAGCATGAATAAGCCTTTCAGATCTGCTGTACAACATTATACCTAGACTCAGCAATATATATTGTACACTTAATAATTTATTAAGAGGATAGATGTTAAGTATTCTTACCGCAGTAAAATAAAGTTAATTTTTTTAAAAAATATTTTAAAAACTGGGGGAAAAAAAACTTCACAGCTTGCTTCCACTGTGCCCAGCAAAGGGGTAAATGGGTGCTTTGCTCCTCCCTAAATGGCTGATGCTTAGAGACAAATGGTCTCCCTCTCTCCCCCTGAATATTGTCCCATCGCCACCATCTTCTCTCCTATGAGGTTTCTTGAACACAGACAATGGAAAAGTGGGTCTCATCTGGAGTCAGCTCCAGTGATGCTAACAGAAAATTCAGGGTAGGGAGCAGTTGGGGAGAGAAGAGATAAACATTTAGGACATCCTGGTAGCCCGACCCAAGGATTGCTTTCATATGTCTGTCTCCAGTCATCACCGCACCTCTAAAAGGGGGCTAATGATACTGTTAGGATTTAAAGCTATTAAGTAAATTAAAGCCAAGTGCTGGATTGCTGAGCTTTATATGGGACTGCTGAGTTTTAGATCAATGCGGCTGGGGGGGGCGGGGGAATAAAAACAGGAAAGGAAAGATTCTAAAGAGACCAACTAAAACAGTGAAGTGAGCCTATGGCACTTGACCTGGAGAATTCCTGAAGACTCTAGAACTTTCAGATGCAAAAAGCAGGGAATAATAAAAGAGCTGAGCAGACGGAGGCCAGAAGCCTTTGAATTTGAATGAAGTAGACCAGTCACTGTCAAAAGTCAATATTCAGAAATATCCCCTGAGAAGCTGTCAAAAAAATGCAGGTTCTAGGGTCTGCTCCCCATGGTTCTGATGGAGGGGGTCTGGTATGAGGCCCGGGAATCACATTTTAATAAGTGTCTAGGTTCTCTCTGTGCAAATGGCCCAGGTCCATGCTTTGACAAACACTGACAGCCTTCCCCACAAAGTCATATTCAGTTGCTCTGTTTGTGAGTAATGAACACTTTTCTTTGGCAAGACACTGAAAGGGAAGAAACAGAACTACAATCCTTAAGCTTGGTAAACTTTCAGGATAATTAATAGGGATTGGTTACTTGCTGGAAAATGAAGTATTCACGTACACACATGCCATGGATTGGGTAAAAAATAAATTATGTTCAGATGATTGAGTATTTCTCTGAGATGGAATAAATTCAATGGCTGAATGAAAGGAACAGGCAAACTATCTATCACCTGAAGTTAGCAGCTAAGATAACATTTCCACCACGCGTGGGGAAAGGGATACTTGGACCAGGAACATAATAGGACGACTACGTTTAGGAATATAAACCATTCAGGGTTAAAGGTAATCACATCTGAAAGATAGCTCCTACTACCCCCACATAAACCCAGAAAGAGGTGGTGGGGTACAAGGTGGCCTAATATCTTCATAAATAATTCGAAAGATGGAGGCCGGCTCACGCAAATCCCCACAGACAACACAAAAGTGGCAGGGATGGCGAATCTGTGAAGAATGGAATTCAACCACGGGGCAATGTCTTTAAATTTGCCTTTATCAAATCTTGTGTAATGAAGTCACATATTATTGTATCTCTTTATTGAGACTCAATAGGGCTAAATGTAGAGTGATTTATGGAAGAAGGACTAATCGGATGCATTAAGTAGAAAAGAGCACGCACCTGGAGAGGCATTAGCACAGGGGTCAGGACAGGCACTGCATGGGAAGTCGTGTGGCAATGGGGTGGCCGAGTACTTCTGTTCTCTACACATTAAGAGAACTGTATTAAGAGCCGATGTGTAAAATAAACAAGGAAATGTGTCTGTTACTCTCTGAGCCGCTTGGCCTTGGTGTTACTTCCAGGGGGAACCCTGAGCTTAAATGTAAATCTGGGAAGGAATTTAAAGCAGGCCATCACAGAGGTTATGGGATGTGACCCCAGATAAACCAAAAAGACAAGGGGATGTTAAAAGAGCCTCCAGAATAGACAAAATGCTCAGTGTGCCTCTTTGTTGGGAAAAGATGCACAAAAGATAAGGGAGCCTATAGGAGTAAAAAAAAATTTAGCTCCTATTAAGGAAAAACAATCATTCAGAGCACAGTTGGAATCATGGAAGAAAGGGTAGCTGATCGTAACACCATCCCTGGGGACACTCAAGGAGGTGACCAGACACCTCTCTACTTAGGATGCATTAGAGATTATTAAAAGCATTCCTTGCTCAGTTCGGGGGTAGAGGGTGGGCCTCGTGACCTCTCTAAAGGTCATTCCTATCCCAAAGGATCACTTGTCTGAAGGGCGCCAGATAAAAATAAAGTCTATTAATCACCAAGCTGCCACACAATTTCCTAAGAGGGCCAGAAGAGAGAAGGGCAATCTACAGTGGACGTTGGTCCGTTGAGGGAGGAAAAGGGAGGCAGCACCTGTGTGGGCAGAGCCAAGGAATCAGCTGCTGAGACTTCCAGAAAGCCAACGTCAGGCCTCCGTTTAGACCTCCCAAGCATCACAGGGTAAGCAGAAGGAGGAAGAGACTGTGCAGATGGGAACAGGAAACAGCGAATGACAACAGAGTCCCTAATCACAGCCACAGGAGCTGGGGGGGTGGGGGGGGGAGTAGGGGGGGGGACGGGCAGGATGCAAGCACCTCACCCAGAAAGAGGGGAGCCAGGCACGAGAGGGACACCAACAAGGTAGCTCTGCGGAGGTGACCTGTCAGGAGGCAGGCGGCAGACAAAGAGTGAAGAGAGAAACCGAGAGGTGGGTGAGGAAGGGCACACGGGGTGTGTCTGTGAATACAGGGGACTACTGGCTGAGAATCCACTGAAAGCCGAAAGAGATAGAGCAAAAAGTAACCCCGCCATCTACGGGAGCAGACAATCACATGACAAAAATAAAGCTTTGGAAGAGAGGAATCGAATGGCAATGCCCCAATCCCAGAGCAGCTGCTGGCATTCTTGAGAGCTGGGCTGCTCCAGCCAGACACAGCTGGGAAGCCTGCGCCACGAGGGTCGGAAGGACCCTTCCCACAGGGCTCACCTGCTCGGGCTTTTATGCAGCAGAACAAAACGGAGCCCCTTCTGGGAGGCAAGACCCAGGCCAAAGCAGGCACCTCCTGATACTGTCATGAGACATCAGACCCCATGCCCTGCTCCCTCCTCATCCTGGACCAGAAACCACTTTGGGAGGGACATGTTACCTGCAGGAGTTGTCTCAGGAATGCCATCTGCACGGTGTATTAAGCAGCCAAATGGGGGTCATGGAGTTTGAGTTCTTCTAGCAAAATGTTCTCCAACCAGCTGTCACCCCACCGGGCACAGAACAACTTTTTGAAATCAAAAGAGGCCAGTGAAGAGGGAGGAAAAGGACACCACCCCCGAGGTGCTCCCTGAGCCTCCTCGCCCCCGTTCGCCCTCTGCTTCCACGGAGACGGCGGACACTGCAGGACGGCCTTGGAAGACCCACCGTGCCAGGGCCCTGCCTGAGCCACCTCGCAGCCCTTCCCCTGTGGCACCGCTCTGCATCCTCGGAGGGGAGAAGACAGGAGGGGAAGATGGTCAGAGAGTGTGGCTTCGAGGGCTGTCCTTGTTGTGGAAGGAGGGATGGGACCCCATCCGGTGAGAAGAAAAGTAGGGCAAGGATTTTAAACCCACCCCCCAGCGCGCTGGTGGGTGAGAAAGAGAACGGCTCTCGAGCTGACGGCCATCCCTCCGAAGGCTGAAGGTTTCTGGAGGCACACCCGCCGCCCCTGCTCCCGCTCTCCCTCAGCCCCAACCCAGCCCTGTCTGCGCCCCCTAAACCCAGGAGCTGGGCCGTCCTTGTCCAAGAGACACCTCTGAAGCAAGCAAGAAAGGCTGGAGATGGATCGAGGGCCATTTATTAAGCTAAGTCGTCGTCAGAGAAAGATTCATAACTCGCCCTACCTAGGACGGGAGAGGGAGAAGGAAATTAAAGGGAAACATGAAAAGCCAGAGGAGCCAAGTACCTTGGTGGAGGGCTTTGAGTTATGCTTTTGTTTGTAAGTCTCTGAAACAGAGAAAGAAAGAGGATGAATCTTCAGGAGACCAAGAGAGTGAGAGAGAGAGAGAGAGAGAGAGAGAGAGAGAGAGGGAGAGAGCCAGAAGAAAGCCACCAAGGAGGCACTGCCAGAGAAAGGGGGCCGGCATCAAAGGCAGGAGGCCTCCCTGACTTGCTTGTCCCTCATGCACAAACACCTGGGCGGGCGGGTGGCAGCAGCAGGAGGTGGTGACTTTGCTGACAGGGCAGGCATGCGAGCTGGGGTGCAGGCCCAAGAGGAGGAGCCAGTGAGGCCGAGGCTGGGGGCGGACAGCCAGGGAAGCACAGGGAAGGGGGTGCTGGGGGCAGGGGCAGGAAGGCGGCATCTGCCGTACTTACTGTCACAGACGTAAGGTTTGTCATGGTCTTCCTGAGAGGCGGCGTCGTGCCTCCTCCTGCCACCTGCAGAGCCACGGGCCTGGGGAGACAAGGGGGGGGGGGCGGAACCAGGAGGCTTGTTATCGTAACGGTTACAACAGCTCCTGAGCACACACTCTGTGAGGCCCTGGGCATCACACCTACATCTCCCCATTCAATCTTCCTTCACAACATTTGAACCAATACCGACCCCATTTTACAGGCCAGGAAACTTGAGGCCCAGTGAGGCCCAGGTAACTTGCCCCAGAACACTCAGCTAGTCACGCGTATCATTTCATTAAATGTTCACAACTCCAAGAGAGGTCCCACTATGACCTCCGTCTTACAGATCGGGAGGCCGAGGCAGCAGCCCGTTAAGTAGCTTGCCCAGGGTCACTCAGCTACCAAGTGCAGGGCCAGGCCGGAAACGACAGTCTGACTGCAAAGCCTACATCTGCCCGATCCCCCTACTCTACTGTTGCCACAAGGACCCCCTCCTCCAACCGCTTAGCCTTCTAGCTTCGTCGACCCCACATGGAGATGCCCACCCCGCTCCCCTCAGCTGACCGGATGATGGCAGATCGGGAGCAGAGGCCGTGTGCCCGCAGTCATCACCCCAGGCGCACGCTGTCCCCTGCAAGTCTCTTAAGAGCCAGCCAGGCCTGGCATCTGGGCCTAGGGCGTGAGCCCGGGCATGGCGCGGAGCTCCCTCTGGCCTGCTCGGCCTACCCTGTGGGGGTGAGCTTCAGCTGAGGCCTCCCTGTGTGGTCTGCCTCAGGCCTCCAGCCAGTGACAGAGACCTTGACGCCTCACAGTCTCCCGGGGCTGGATTCCTGATACCACCACCCTGCGTGCACCTCCAGAAAGGGTCGGCGTACCCAGGGGTGGGGCTGGGCTGAGCTCTACCTCCAAAGATAGAGGAGAGCAGCCAAGAGGGTGCTGGCAACTCTGCAGCCCCAGGACGGTGGCTACAGAACGCGGCAAGGTTTATTTTTAAACCTTTGTAAGTCCCACATGGTCACGTGGGTAGCACCCTGGCCTCCTCCAGGTCATTCTCTGGTAATGAGTAGCAGTAAACGCCCAACCAGGGAAAGGGCCTGCTGGGGTCTTTGGGGACAGAGAAGGAGACGCAGCAGATGAGAAATAAAACATGGCAGCCACCTGGGGTGCGGGGGCGGGAA